GGCTGCTGATGTCTATGGATTCATGGCTGAGCTATTGCAAGCTCTTGACCCCAATTGCTTGGCCCCCATCCTCTGCCAACTTTTCCACGAAATCATCCAACATGGTTTTCCACAGACCTGGAACATCAATAGGGTTGTACCAATTTACAAGGCGGGAGATCTAGTACTGCCCTCCAACTATCGTACTATAATGATCTCAACAATCTTCGCAAAGCTGCTCTCGTGAGCTGGACGGAAGCCAAAGGATGCAGAGCGTCAATGAATAGGCCAACAAGAGTGGGTGACAAGGGGCAACCAGTTGGACACCTGTGTCACAGTCAATCTGAGTATGTTATAGAATGTCTGCTTTCACGTTTTCGTAAAGCCTCTGAATGAGCTTGATGAGTTCAGTGGGACGTTTAGCTTATGAAGTCATGCGAATAGTCTCCTTGTCAAAGTCTTTTTACTATGTTGACATAGCAGGCATAAACTGAGGTTATGGGCACGCAGTTTGTCCAGGGCTACCCACAGCGTCACCAAGTGGTCGATGCAACTATAATGCGGTCGGAACCCGGCCTGCCCTCTGGGCTGGAAATTCTCATGGCAGGGCGCACTCCCTCCTCCATCTTGCTTGCCAGGATGATTCTGCAGCTGCTCATATATGTGGACGACCTCCTTCTATTGGCCACTTTATGGCTAGACCTTCAATGCCAACTACACACCTTGGCACAATTTTGCAACTCCATGGGCCTTGCTGTCAACATAAGTAAGACAAAGATGATGGTTTTTGGCCTGGACACAGCAAGCAAATTCCACTACAAGGGACCACACGAAGAAAACCCAAGATACACTATCAATCGATGCCTCCCATAGAAAACTGGAGTAGAAGGGCCTAATCAAATTGCCGTCAAGCCAATGTACACAGGTGGGCATCTATTACATGACAAAGGTAACGATGGTGGTCTTATATGGAGCAGACAGTTGAGGTTCAGGACTAAGCAAGACCACATGGGACATTTCATCTCAGCAAAATTTAGGGTGTACAAGGCTCCATACTTGATCATGGTTCTGGAAATAAGTTTACTCCCAATGGAAATTCTTGCTTGGAGACATTACACAAAGTGCATACTTTCTCTGCAAGCAAAAACTTGCAGACATGGCAATTGCTAAATCACAACATATGGCCCAAACTCTTGGAAAAGGTTGGTGGCACACTTTCAAGGTATAGACAGCCACCCTCGGCCATGACCTCTCCACACTGATGACAGAACTGATCGAACAATTGAAGTTTTGGACCTAGCAATCTCTCTAATGGTGGTGTGACGCTCAAATGAAGGATAGTGTCCTTCTTGGAATTTATGTGAACACCAATAATGCGGGGTGAACTGGATGCTGGCAATGTGGTTGAGGAACCAGTCGTTACCCTCCTGTTTCTACATAAAGATCCTTGGCGCCCAAGAGCTCTTCTGCAGCCTCCTGAAAGCCAAGTAGCACCTGTATGGTTTGCATGAAGAGCATATATCTGTAGCCGCACTCAGGGACGGTCCAGTCACACCCCAAGTTCCATCTCCATTGTTTGTCACCTTTTTGCTGCACTGCCTGTCTCCAAGTTGCAGTGGACACACCGTAACAGAAGCTGTCCCTCTTTATAAAGTGGATGGTCACGACGAAGTCTGGCGTCTCCGCTCATCTTTGACCTGTGGCACTGTCTTCATGTTCTCCATCCGACCACCACCGCCCACTCCCTCCCTGGAAATAGATTGTGCCTGTGCGTGCCTGCCCTCACACTCAAACCGCTGCCAAAGATACCGTGATTCTGGATATAGTTCCCAGGCTCTTTCCGCTGAAATAGCTTACTCGCTCTGCTTGGACTGACTTTGACATAGCTCCTGGAGCTGTTGTCCTTCTTGAGTACAACATTGTGATCTCGACGGTCTTGCCAGACCTGTCTCTCAGCTGCAGGCTGTAGCGTCCTCCATTGTGCCGGGGTCGAGAGCACTGAAGCTTTCTCAAACATAATCTCCCAGTCGTTCAAGTGATTGAACTGCTTCTGCGGAGGGACCCTTTGGAGAACCGACCGACCTGAGCATGCTCGTACCGCACTATTGTTGAAGCAAGTAACTCTGATCTCACCACCCTTGGCATCTAGCAGATTGAAGCTAAACACCCTGCCATCACCTTGGGTGCTATTGAAGTTATGGAGATTGCTCTCCTCGCTTTGATCGTGTAATTGATTTGCTTAAGCAAGTGTGTAAGGGGACTAGTGAATATACCTAAAATATATTTGAATATTTTAGAATATTCTACTATCTAACGGTTGTTATTCCTTTAGATTAATTTTATATTTATAATTTATAAACATATTTATAATTTATAAACTTTTAAAAACCTTTTCTAGTATATTCTTTTTTATTCTATCATCTACATGCTTATAATTATAAACTTTATTTGATCAATCCATTAAGCAAACCAAACGCGATTTTAATTTTGTTGTAAATTTTGACTGTGTTTAATTTAATGTAACAGTTGAAAATTATTTATCGTTTAATTTTACAAGAACGTATGCAACCTTGTAAAATGTCTCGTAGGAACGATTCCAGGCGGTCCCTCGCTCCTTGCAATAGGCCCTCTATTCGTGTAGGTCCATATGGAAGACCCCATAGAGCTCAACCTCTGCCGGTCTTCAACCGTATGAGCTATCTGGCTCCCACTAACACCAGCGGTGGAAGGCCAAAGGAAGACAGCCAGAGGGGAGGACAAGCAAAACCCGCTAGAACACTCAAGATCATCACCAGCTGCGATGGCGTCGACATCCTGGAGAGCTTACCCGATCGATCGAACCAGACTGCCTTCGTGATCGGCACGCGTGAGGCACAAGCGGTAGATTAAAGCGCCGAAAATTTCAAACGCTAAATTGGAGGGGCTTATTTATATTTTGTTTTTGGATATTTTTTTCTTTAAATACTTTATGTATGTAGTATTGTTTTAGTAATCGTTTAACATACAGCATGGTCTTCATTTGATCAACTGATCTTTCCAGAGATATAAAAATAAAGAATGAATTTGGCTTTACATAGTCTCGAGTGCTGTAGAAAACCAGCTTAAGTCGGTAAAAAGAAAAACAGAGATACTTACCACTACATTTTGTGTTTGAGAGAAACTGATTAAAGCGCTGAATAATCCACGTAATAGAGACCAAATCTTTGGCTAAATCCGCTATCCCACTCCCAATTGTCTAGCAAAGACCACGCATAGTAGCCACGAACATCCACACCGTTCCTGAGAGTTAAAAAAACTACAGTTTAGACGAGAAATAGTTTTCCTCGAAAGAACTAGGCCTATGGAAGCTTACGCGATGGCTTGCTGCAAGCTCGTGAGATACGACTCATAGAACTGAACCCTTGCATCATCCTTTATGAACCTGTCGCTAAAAGTGTTCGAATCGGCGACGTCCACCAATCCTGGAAAATTGGACCTGAGAAAACCAGTGACAAGAATGACAAGCCCACCATTTTCCGTGATGAAAATCGGAGGATTGTTGTGGTTCTCCTTGACGTGGCTGAGTATATTGTAAAGCCCCCAAGGCACAACATAAATCCAGGTTCCAGTCTATAATCCAAACAGACCCGAGATCAGGATAAAAAGAAATTGTTTAGGAGACTTATTTACCGTGCCTCCGATAGAAATCCCGTTTCTTTCGGCTGAAATGTAAAAATCGAGCTCGTGAGATAAATGCACAACAAGGAAACTATCAATCTATTGCTTACTTAGAAAGTGTGTATGGGAGTCGCTCTCGTAGCCGGGACGAACGTTGCTAGGCGATGGATTGTCTTGAGTGTATCGAGAAGTGTAGTGATTGAGGCCCAAAAGGTCCATGGAGTTTCGAAGATCTCTCGACTCTTCGACAGTGAAAGCCGGCAAGCGATCCCCGACGTAGAGACGCATCGACTGTGGATAGTCTCCAAAACGTAATTGGATGCAAGAACCTGTGAAGAACTGAGAGTTCACTCGAAGAACCTGAAAACATAAAAAGGAGAAGATTTTTTTACCATCCAAGTTCAAAGTCGAGAGCTCTACGAGCAGCTGCGATATCTCTCGGAAGACTTGAGTATGGTTCATACCAAAACGAGTCTAGCGTCATTCCAATGACGCCACGCTGGTCGACCTGCTTTGTCAATCAAGATAAGGACTGGAGGGAAATTATAAAAAAAACACGTTGATTTTGGAGGAAGCGAACCTTGTATTTACGCCTGTAGAGTTTGACGGCCTTGGCGTGTGCTAGCAGGAGATGATGGCCAACGATGTATGGCTCCGTGCTTGAGTTTCCTTGCGGGCGCGTAGTATCCTTGGACGTAGCCTCCGTTTATCAGCTGGTGTGGCTCGTCAGTTTTTCACGCGGTCGCCGAAGGCCTGGAAGCAAAAGTCTGCGAATCGCAAATACTCGTCCCTGCAAAACATCGAGAGAAGTTTTCCATCAAAGAAGAACTTTGCAGAACTCTTTCCGGAACTTACACGATGTCTCGGCTAAGCCATCCTCCAAACTTATCTTGCAAAGTTTGTGGGAGATCCCAGTGATAGATCGTGACAAAAGGCTTGATTCCTGCCCAAAAGTAAACAGTGCTTTCAATCTTATAAAAACTATCCTCCGCATTGATTGGATCTTACCGTGTTCCAGCAGAGCATCGATCAAGTTGTTGTAGTACGCAATCCCTTCGGGA